GAAACAACCCCCCCCCCCCCCCCCGTCGGGGAGAGAAACCACTTTTTATTGGGGAGAAAAACAATTTCTACTAATAGACTAATAAAATCGGTTAAATAAGCCTTTGAAACCACTAGTTTTTTTGGGTTTTTTTTGGCGGGGGAAGGGCTTCGTTCCTGGACCACTTTCGAAAGCTTTTAGGGAGGCCCGCCCACGCCCACTTTGTTCTGGTCGGGGACTTTGACTCCTGTCGGCGATCCTGGCGCCGTCGCTACTTTCATCAAGATGCTAATTACTATAAATACCCATGAAACCTATCAGTCTTTTGAGCCGCTCACTATTTTCATTACTTTAATTTAGTTTTATATTTGTCCAATATGCCTACTTATATATTTAAGTATAGGCCTACTTTGAAATGTTATTCAAATAATAATAAAATACTGTCTGCCTAAAAATACAACAGACCAACAAATCACTGTTTTATATCACTTTGAAATTAATGGTCATGTGAGCCCGTATAAGCACACACACACGTCTATACAGCAAACGGTTAAATACAAGTTTCCCGTTTTCGTTTTTCATTGTGCCTGACCTTTGACCCTGGCTCTTCAAAATTGAGTCACTTCCAGATCTCTAGTAAAGGAACATTGTGGCCAAGTTTGACAAATTTCTAAAAAAAAAAACTGTTTCAAAAAGTTGTTTTTTGTTGATTGTGATTGTGACCTTTCAACATTCAAATACTTTGTGATCTTTGGTCATGGAACATTGTGACCAAGTTTGACAAGTTTGTGATTAAAATTATTGGCTGTAGACAAATAAATAAAAAAACAGTTTTTTCGTTGATTGTGACCTTGACTTTGACCCTGATCCTTCAAAATTTAATCAGCTCTAGATCTTAGGTAAATGAATATTGTGACCACCAAGTTTGACAAATTTCTGATAAAAACTATGGGCTGTAGGCTGTTCACAACAAATATGCCAACAGACAGATAAATAAAAAAAAATAAATAGATAAATAAACAGGGGCAAAAACGTAACCTCCTGCCAACTTCGTTGGTGGAGGTAATGAGATCTTTAGTCATGGAAGATTGTGACCAAGTTAATCTCATTTTATGTTATTCCTCCAGCTAGAACTATTCCCTCCTCATCCACATATCATCGCACCCTAGAATAAGCCAGCCAGTGAGTGTTAAGAATATTTACTGTTTCTTTACATTTCAACAGGTTCTAGGTTATGAAGTTGACTTCATCAATTCTGTACAGCTATGCACTCACACACAATATGAATTAATCAAAGGCCAAGTCTTGAATGCTGATGAACTCAAGTGTTTATATGATGGTATAAAAGGAAATGGTATTAATAGATATTCTCATCTGCTAACTGGTGAGTAATAACAGCAGTAATATAGTAGTGGCTACAGTTACACCAGCTATTTTTTTATTTCCTAATCCTGATTGGATGTTCTTGAACTATAATATAATCCATATTGTACATACAATATCATCCAATCACATTAAGAAATTCGTTAACTATAGCCATCCTGCCTTTGTTTATTCATATACAGTGCAGGCGTGGTTAGGCAGGTTCTCATGATGGCGCTCTTCTAAGGCAATCTGTCCAGGACCAAATCTTGGTCAACATCTCATTCCCCTGCACTGTGTTTTTTATACCTTTTTAGCGAACCCGCCGCCTGCCAATCATGGTGGTTTCGGATAAAAATAAAATTTTATTTTTGGCCAATTAGCGTAAAGGCTGCCATGAAAAATGGAAATTTCAGAAAAAATTATTTTTTTTGAATTTTTTTATCGTTCCTGCCGCTGCCTTGTAATCGCCAAAAACAAAAGTTATGTATTTCTTCCTAATTACCGGTACATAGACTTCAAGCATTAAGCCATCTACAATTCTGTACAGCTATGCACTCACACACAATATGAATTAATCAAAGGCCAAGTCTTGAATGCTGATGAACTCAAGTGTTTATATGATGGTATAAAAGGAAATGGTATTAATAGATATTCTCATCTGCTAACTGGTGAGTAATAACAGCAGTAATATAGTAGTGGCTACAGTTACACCAGCTATTTTTTGATTTCCTAATCCTGATGATTGTCTTACACTATTCAGACTAGACTCATTGCGACAGGTTGCGATGTAATCGGTGGTAAAAAGTTGTAAATCCAAATTGTTCTCAACCATTCAGTAAAAGTAACACTGTACAGTATATTAAAGATATATGGTATAAATTGTAGGCAATGCTGTAGCGAGGATTTTCAAACAGTGTGGGACAATATCAGGGTGGACCCACTTTACGCGTATTTAAATAATGTGGAACCATTTCCTATCCTCCCAGTTTACGCAAAAATATGAATAATCTGGACCCATTTTCTTTAAGTTCGACCCATTTTACACAAAATATGAGAAATCTGGACCCATTTTTAAAATGTGGACTCATTCTTTGTGGACCCAATAGAAAAATTGACTGTTCCAACTGCCCCAATAACTGGCTATGGCATTGACTGTAGTAATTTCAATTACATTTGCACAATTTTGTTTGTGATGAGGTGAGTCTGTGTCTGTTCACACCTTCGTTGATCCTCTCAGTTGATCATTCTAATCAATTTTATTTGCATTTCCTTCCTGTCAATCTGGAAAATAAAATTGATTATTGAAAGCGGTAAGTGCAGTAAGTGGTTCAGGCTCTCGAACTTTTGTCATGGGTGTGAAACCCATCCTACTGTCTGGTGGTCTCACAATACAATGTTGTACTGTTGGGTTATGCACCAGAGATTTTGAGAAAGTTGCATATCTCATAAGTTTGCCATCTATGGGTCAAAGTTTCAGGAGAAATTATGCGCTCAACTGACTGACTGTCTGTCAGGGTCTAAACAAATATATATTTAAATTTGCTTATGTTGTATTACTGTATTACATAATTTATTAATGTACAACTGCAAGTTTAAATGGGAAATAAATGTTTCTCCCCCCCCATAAGAGACAGCCCTATTAACCTGTCATAATTTTTTTCCATGAATCCTTAAATTGGCTGGTAATTTTAAAAATAAAAAGTCTGTAAGTAAACCAGGAAATTTTTTTTTTTTTTAATCTGTTACTGGTTAAATGATGATTTATTTGATCTTTTTGAAGAATTTTAATAGACCTGTTAAGGTTTTTCCCTGTTCTATTGATGCAATTTATTTCATTACAGGTTATGTTGGCTCGACATCTTTTCTTCATGAGGTGATACGCGTCGTGAAAGATGCACGTGACGCCAACGCTAATATGACATACGTGTGTGATCCTGTCATGGGCGATAATGGTAGGTTCTACGTTCCAGAAGATTTGATGCCAATTTATCGAGATGAGCTGTTACCTCTAGCGGATATAGTTACTCCAAACCAGTTTGAGGCTGAGTAAGTTAATATTTATGAATTTTGATAATGGTCAAAAAAGGTTCAGTGTCTTTCGAAAATCAGGATCGGTTTGCCTCATACACCCACTTCAGACACGAACAGTGGCATATCGAAGATTGTGAAATTGGTTGTTAGTGTCTTCCATTGCCATTTATTTCCACTAAATTATTTACTATTATTTTTTTCATTTGATCCCGAGTTGCACACTAATCACAACTCAGGAGTTTCTAGCCAGGGTATTGTAAAATCCCGGGTTGTGTCTGGAGTTTCGTTTGCAGTGTAAAAGGGGTATTAATAATAATATTAATATTAGAGACATGCCATAACTGCTTTAAATAAAACAATACATGAACGATTGTGATTTGTTTAGACTTTTAAGTGGAATGAAAATAACCAATGAAGTAGAAGCCTTGAAAGCCATGCAGACCCTTCACGATAAAGGAGTTAAGACAGTTGTACTTAGCAGTTATGAAACAGGGAAAGAAGATACACTAACCTTGCTTGGGACACAACTCAAAAGTAAGTAATAATATCAGGAAACTACAGCAATAAACAATAATTATTACGTTATTAATAGTACTAGTAGTTTTTGTAGTTGGAAACAAAGTGGAATATTTCATTTTTACTTCCTATGCATACCCAGCATATGAGCCATTGTAATGGACGTGATGTGTGTAATGCATGCGTGTGCAAGTTACACTGAGTATAGCAACAAACTAAAAAGTTTTACCAAAGTACTTGCAGTATACGAAGGCAAGAGGTTTTTTTATCCCTTGTTTTAAATTAAAATAAAATTTAATTTTTAGCCAGTTAGCGCACCATTGGCTACAAAAAATGGATATTTCATTAAAAAAATAAAATGTTATAATTATTTTTATTGTGATCGCCACTTTACTGAAATCCATAAAAATAGGATATAATCTTCCAGAAGAAATATATTATATTTCTTCCTTAATGAATTTAGAGCATTTACCAATCTCATTAAATACTACATTGTTTAATTCATTTATACAATTTTATTTTTATTTTCTCCTCCGCCAAGGTGGTTTAGGCAAAATCATTTTGCTAAATGAGTTTTTATTTTGTTTCTGTCCTCTGACGATCCTTATAAAAACAAGTTCGCGAAACAAGGTGTAAAAAAAGTCTCTCCTAACTACTGCAGTGTATTCAATTACTGTATACAGTTTTCAACATTGATCACATAGGAACCACAGTCCCCTTAGGGATATAGATATTTCGTGTCATCATAAATCTGAAAATATATCTACCAAACATTAAAAAAAACCCCCACTGAATAAAGTATTATGATATGTGATCTCTTCTGCAGATGGGAAGAAGACAGGTTGTAAAATTGAGTATCCAAAGTTAAACATGAGGTTTACTGGCACAGGTGACGTCTTCTCAGCCCTTCTACTAGTGTGGACTCATAAATACCCAGACAACCTTCAGGTTAGATAAAACTCACGATAGTATGGTTCTTGTTATGAATGACACCAGGTGGCGGGGCTAGGATTTGCCTGATGGTGTGGTTTTGGTGCGCATGGGAAGCTAAGTGGTCTGGCAGGTCCGAAAATTTTCGGCAATGTCCAGGAGGTAATGGGAGGGGGACATTAAACCTTTTAGCCTTCTCACTGACACTGCCATGTTAACTAATGCTGTATGATTACACTGTAATATATGTTTCAAACTTTTTTGATCTAGCAAATGTTATGTCTTTACTGGTGTACTGTACCTCTAAAGACAATGCTCTGCTTTATATACCTAAAAAATAATGAATGGTAATAGCAAAATTAGGTTTACTCAAGTTAATCGTTTTGTAACAGTGTATGATAAGCACTTTAGTCTGTATTCATTTAAATTCATGTGGTTGTGAGAATTTCTGTCAATTATTTCTGTTTTTTTGTTTTTCAGCTTGCTTGTGAGCAGGTAATATCAACTATGCAGGGTATATTACAAAGAACGTACAAGGAAGCACAATGTAAGTCAAATGTGTAATTGTATATATATTTTTTTGTCATTTAAAATTATATAGTGAATTTGCAGATACAAAGCATTAGAACCACATATTGCACCTCATATACAGAGCAAGTATAAGTTATAATTACTGTATAATAAGATTTATAAAGTGCACAAATCCACTTCAATAGTGCTCAAGGAGCTACAAAGGAAGAACCAAAATTACTGTAAACCAGAAAGCTCCCAGAAAAGAAACACCACACACAACACCGCACCATTTGCAGACTCAATATCCGGCCGGCCTATTCATAACACACAGGTGCTCAAGTAACGGGTGTATCTAAAACAAATTAAGTTTGCAAGCAAGATAAAGGAAAACTAAGAAGCTGCAAAAGCAGTAGACAGCAGATGTTTGTTTAAATAAAGCTGTATACTAGCATGAGAGAATATTAAATGTCTGCAATGATCCAGTAAAAGTCCAAACAGACAAGAAAATTCACAAAATGAATCAATAGTGAAAACCTAAAAATCACAAAACAAAAAATAGAATAAGGCAAGAAGAGAGAAAGAAAAATGTCACAAGAAAACAAATTATGAAAACAAGTAAATCTTTAATTTCTATTTGTATGTATTTTGCTATTCTCTTCTATATAATCAAAATACAGTTGGAGAGCCTCTCGATGAACTTCAGCTTTTTAGGCAATCCATTAGGTTTGGGATTTTGATTTTCAATTTTTCAATGTTATTTGTGTCTGAAAAATATATAATAAAAGAAAATAAATAAATTTAATGAAAACTTAGAAACAGCAACAGGTGAAGAGCGGATGTTAGGAAAGATTGACAGATAGACTGATGAAATTGGAGTAGGGTGTTTGCAATAAGGAAATAAACATGTTTAATTTACTTCTTCAAGCAGTGGTCTTATCTTTTCTAGAACACAGAAGTTTCCTGTTGATAGTGAATATGAGCTGAACATGTACAGTGGGTTTATCAAAAAGGATGTATTGTCCTTGGTGTCTGATTCAATTGTACAAAAAAGAGATATATAACTGATATAAAGTAAAACCATACTTATACCCAATTCACACGTGAAGTTAAATTTAACAAATTGTAACCGAGCGATCTCCCGAGTTATTCCTACCGAGATAAAAAGCATTCACACGCGTCTGTAAGGTAATGCCGAGGTCGTGTAAAATTTATTAAGTGTTTATTCAATGAATCATTTTTTCCCCTACTGTGATATAGGTCTAGCCTAGGCCTAGTTGAGAACCCCTGTCACAGATGGACTGTTGAACTCACCATCACAGTAAACATTCAAAGCAATCAATGCCCTTAACTGCTGTACTACTACTACTAAACTAGGCATAGCTTCCAACGTGTCTGTCGACTTGTCTT